CAAAATGAAAACACATAGCTTGCCTAGCCGAAGTTGGGTCATTGCACATGTCACAGTCCAGCACTAGTATATAGGGAGAATTTCTTATCACACCAGAAACTCGAAGCTGTAATATTCAAAATATTTAACCATAATATTTCATGCAACATCGTTCAATGACTTTATGTACACATGTTAACTAGAGGAGTAGCTCTTACAAGGACGTTCAGAGATCCGGCCTTGAAATGGTGAGGATGAGAAGGCCTTTTTTCACGGGAAACATAAACTAGGAAAGGCATCTTTAACTTGTTCTTCTGTTGCTTGAGGCCTGACCCGACCCGGCCCGTGGCGGGTTACTTCTTTTGATGGATTGTTCCTAACCCATCCGCCAACAAAGGCAAGCCGGGTTAGGCCCGCCATTTTCGGGGTAATGGCTGGCCCAACCCGGCCCGTCAACCCTAACCCGTCGGGTTAGGCTACGGGTCGGACCGGGTTAACCCTATTTTTGGATTTTTTTTTTTATTTAGTTAACTTTTCAAATAAATAATAAACGATTTATAAATGAATAGATGTAATTGTTTTTAGTTAACTTTTCAAATATCAATAATTCAATTAAATTAATTTTTTTATTTAACATTTCAAATATTAATTTAATTTTAATACAATAAAATTGTAATATAAGAAAAATTAGATTTATTCATTCAATTGATGAAACTTTAGTATAAGAATGAATTATATTTTATACAAGACATGGAAATTTAAGAATAAGAATTTAGTATTTAATTTTTTTATATTTTACGTATCATAAAAAATAATAATAACAATATGTCAAATATTACGAAGTTTTATACATTTTAATATTTATGATTTAGAAGTATAGTTTAATATTATTGTATAAAATTATTTGTAAGAGTTCAATCATAATAGTTTAATTAACAGAATTAAAAAAAAGGGAAAAACTTGAAAAAAATAATGAATTTTTTATTTTTTTAATTTTTTTTGGGCCAACCCGATAGGTTGACTGGTTGCCATATAGCAATCCAGCCCGTTCAGGAGTTGCATGAGGGATGGGTTCAACCCGACCCGTTTATAAGACAATCCAGATTAAACCCTTTATAATGTGAGCTAGATTAGGATTGACCCGTCTAACCCGGTCATTTGTTTCACCTACTTGCTTCATTGCCCTTTTCATTTATTATATGAATATAATTGATTTGTTTTTATCTCAAGTTAAATCAGATTGTGATAGGCCGTGGGCTGCAGCCATTTGGGGAACACGTGGGTTGAAAAATTACTGGCCCAGATTGATCGATGAAAGGTAGCCATTAATTTAACGTAATGAAATAATACCTCGATCAGAGAAGGATGGGCTCCGGTACTAATCTGAGCGTTTTTGTCCTCAACCTGCCCCTTCCCTGTAGCTCTTAATACCCGTTCCTTGAACACTTCATACTTTCCCTGCATCAAACACACTCTAATTATTAGCTTTTGAAGTACTGTCAGCCTTTGGCTTTATCAAAATAGTTCTTGAATTAGATAAATAATATAATAATTAAAGTACTTAATTAGTCAAAATGTTTTACATAACAGTATATAACACGTTAATAGAGTCAAAGAAAATAAACTACCGCATGCATAAAATTGACAAACAAAACCAACAACCCTTATATCTATAAACAAAACCAAAGTAAATTATTTCTAGTAAAACCACGCCTGCTGGCTGCTGTAATTGTTTAGAGAGAATCATTAATCAACGAAGAAAAGTAGGTGAGGTAACCGATGCTTTGAAAAAGCTACTACAATAGTTTAAACAATTATTCACAAATATTATATTCCAACAAACCTTAATTTTTTCTTTCTCTTCCATGAACTCAGCCCTTCCAGAATCAGCATATTGTACTTCAGTACTGGAAAAATAAGCTTTTGGGCATATAGTTTTGATTTCATACTTCTCACAAAATGGAAGCCAAGACCTTGCAAACTTAAAAGCTTCCTCCATGCCAGTCAAAGTTATTGAAGCACCTCCGTCGTCTGAAAGATAAACATGCAGTTTCTTGGGTGGATAATCAAGCGCCATAGCTGATAAAACAGTAATCATGACCTCCAAAGTGGGCTCCTTCTTTGGATCCGCAGTACAAATAAACACATCAATGGCTGGAAACTTGTTATCATCTTCTGGTAGTCTCTCAGGAAAAACAGTTCGATGGACGGGACGCCAACGGTAAGCTTGGCCTACGAGCCACCTAAAGGAGAGAACCAGCTCTCCGGCAAAGACTAGAAGCCACGGTAACAAGGGTGTTGTCCTAGTTTTGGCTTCCTGGCAGAGAAAAGAAGCTCTGTAGTAAATCAAGAAAGCTATAGCTATGCAATGGAGGAATGCATATGTCCTGTTTATGTGATAGAGAACTTGTGGACATGACAGAGATGGAGAGGAAAAGAGTTTTCCATTTCCACAGTTTGCTGTTCTGCTCTCGTCAGGTTATCTTTGTTTGATAAGTTTTATAATTGGTTACAAACTTTTGATAATAACCAATGATAGAACTAGGGCTACTGTTGAAACCGGAGCACTAAGTATATATAAATTTACCCATGAACCAAAAATCCAGAACATCAAGTGGGGTTTAAATCATATAATATTTTATTATAAAGATATATTATATTAATAAAAAAAATATCACCTTAAAAATTACTAATATTATTTAGAAAATATATTTGGATGGTTTGAATAAATTGGTAAATAATATATTTGGTTAGGAGGATAAGTAAATGGGTATGTTATGTAGATTATTAAATTGCTTTCCTTTTAAATATTGATATAATAGTATTTTTTCTTATTTTTTTATTATATTTTTTGAATCAATTTTTTTAATCCCTTACATTTGAAATTTTGCTAAAACAAACCAACCATATAAAACTTTAATTTGTAGCAAAATCACTTCCACCCACCCCAAGCCACTGTCAGTAGCCAACCACTACCGTCGGCCACCCCTGACAGTCAACGAAATGATACACAACTGGCCATCTCTGACGGGTCATGAAAAGGCCAAATCTTTGTCGTTTTCGGCACAGATTCTAGATCCATGGCAGGAAAATGCCTTACCAGTGCACAATCGGTCAGATCCCGCTGTCGTGCACCATTACGGCAACTGACGTTGGCTGCCGGCGATGATCTTGGGTGGCTGGGGGTATTTTGTTAATTTTTAACTTTTTTGTGGCTAGGTTGTTTTAGCTAATTTTTCAAATGTAGGGGAGTTGAGTAATTGTTATTTGGTAGACATGTGAGGGCAATTATGTCCAAAATAATTTTTAATTAAGGGTAAAATAGGTAGAAAAATCATATTGCCTCGGTAATGTTTTAAATTTAATAACACCCCCAACAAGGTAAAAAGATTACCCCCCACATTACCAACAGTAAACACTATTTACAATAAAAGATTATCATAATATTTTATTACTTGTAAACCAAATACCGAAATCTTACAAAATAAAAGTAGATTATTCACGATATCTTATATACCCTGATCCAAACGGCCCCTAAGAGGTAATTCATAAACATGTCACATAATATATTTAAATAGTGGATAGTGGCAGTGGTTTGTTGCATTAGTCTCTCCCAATCATTAATCGAGGTACGTGTAATCTGATCTGAACACCTTAGATTAAAAAAAATTAAGATTTAATTTGATTTTCGGTCATAGTAATGCTGTACTGATTGTATTGCATGCCCTCGCCGTTTACTTTTTTGCCTTGGGTATCACTCAATTGACTCGCCGTTTACTGTTTTGCCTTGGGTATCACTCAATTGACTCGCCGGTTACTGTTTTGCCTTGGGTACCACTCAATTGACTGAGAGTGTAATTTGACAATTATGAATGTCGTAAAAACTGATGAACAAGCCAAAAAGAAAAGTTAGACTTGGTTTGGTTTAACTTTTAGCAGCCGAAAATAAATAAAGTGTAAGATTTAGGTTAGACATAGTGTTAGCATGTCCCAACAAAAGGAAGCAATCTTTGAGGAAAGAGTTAAATATTGTGTGAAGTGCAATCGGCCCAATCCCATAAGAGGAAGTTACCAAAACGAAATGAAAACATATATTTAAGCTAAAAGCCAGGGGGGGCCAATGGCAGCCTAGCAGCCCTAATTCTATTAACAAAAGAGAATATCAGCCATTAGCCCATTGTTATTTATTAATCTGGGTAGAATATAAAACAGTTAGATTAACTTTTCGATGATCTCTCTGTACAAACCTTTAAAGCTTACAGCACCCTCTTCGTCTGGAATCCCACATTGGCAATACATACCATTTTGGTGACATTTATAAGTCAAAAGAGATTGCCAATGTGGCATATCTGGGGGTGGAGGGCGGGGAAGCACGCGCCCCTTTAAACCCTAAACCTTTCCCCCAAGGGGACATTGCGGGGTCTTTATCCGATGTTTCCCCCGTGCGGTTATAAAAGAAACGTTGATGCACAGCGCGTGTGATTCCCATGTTGACGCAATTGCCCCTTGAGAGGATTGTTGGTGTGCTGCCTGCACCTGATTGGTGTTGATTGTCGCGGTTACTGTTGTCCACTCCTCTCGACCACCCCCATTTTCTAATATATATAAAATTATTGATTTTAAAAATATGCTTCACAATTATTATATTCCCTTCCATCTGATATTTTCTTCTTACATCGTTTTATTTTATTTCTTTATCTAAATTTAAATATAAATGCATTCATTTAACAATATATTTTCTTTTCAAAAATTTGTTTGGTATCAACCTTTTCCATGATTTCTCTTTCACCAAGAAAATAGAGATGGAAAAAATCAAACAAAAGAAAATTTGAAAAAAAAAAAAACATGATTATTATCTTGCATTGATTGAAATTCCATCACTTTAGAATACTTTTAATCATAAAAACACAATTTCAAAATCCAATTTAATCACTTTCAAAAATCCTTTCGATAACTGGGCTTACCTCTAATCCATCCAACTAAAAACATATCATATTATAGGATGATCCCTGCCAAATTTAATTGTAAATAGGACAACTAAAAGTAAAATATGGAATCCAAAAAGCTTGTTATAAGACCATGCTTTCGCCAAAAATATAAAATTTGAAAGGATTATATACACAAAATGTATATTCATGTATTTGAATATTAAAAGTAACCCTCCCCTAACTCTGAATTTTCTTAGAGGTTTGCAGAACAATACGGAGCGGCAGCAATAGCAGGCAAAAGATAGACGCTATGTTCAATCCAACGAAAACAAATCACCAGATCTGACAGCTCGCACTGTAAGGGTATACATCTTCAGGAATTGATACTTCCATCACAATCCTTCCCTAACAAAACATTATACAATTTGAAAGCAAATAAATCCCTGGCTACGAATGAATCGAACTAATAATTTTTTACCGCAAAGTAAATTAAGCTGGAAAGCTTACTCTGCTAAATTAGTTTCCCCTCTAAGATGTGTGGTAGTGAGAAGTCAGTATAATTATATGCAGGCATTGCACGTCCCAGCTTGACTGTAGATTCAACGTAGCCTCGACACTAGCGCAATTTCTATGATGAAATTCATTAAGACATAAGTTTTGCTTGATGAAATTTTTTCTTATAACCAAAAGTAACAATAATTCATGTGAATTCACCTTTCTGTGAGAAGGGAATCATTTTGGTGATGACGATGAACAATGTTCCAAAAATTTCCATGAAGGCCGCAGAGCATTTAATGGAGGATTATTCCTCATCTGTAAAATACCCTTAATCCATTTCACCCGGTTTACAAGCTCCTCCAAATCTAAGATTGCTGCTTCTATTGTATCAGAACACAAAGAATTTAAAGGAATGGTTCCATCATTTCTTGCCTTCTTTGATGATCCACTATTCTGACAACTGTCTTTCTCAGCAGCAGTTCCTGCCATTTCAGCCGTTGCATCTCGAACATGTGAACTTGACACACTATCTGAATAACTAGATTTTCCATTACCAGCATCTAACACATCAAAGCCCATCTTTTTTTCCAGTGTACGAATTTCCTGGCATGCAGGAGGACCAAAAGGTCGCTTCGCAAGTCTTTCTGATATTTCTATAGGGGGTAGTGAACTAGCTGAAACATGAGAAGAGAATGACGCATTAAAATCAGTTGACCCTTCAGCTGTTGTCTGAGCATCCTTTCTCACTTCATCAACAGAATGGGCAATCGACTTTACCAAGCCTCCTGCAGCCATAATGATTCCCTTGTTAAGCAAGCTCATCTATTACCTATTCAAAGTATCAAGAAGCACAGCGACCAAAGTAAATATGATGGTAGCATCCAAAATAAAACCTGACATGGTCGAACCAACTTGTGACTCATTAAAATTCAACATCAAGCTTGTGATTAAATCAAATTATAGCCTTGCTTGTAGTCGGAAGACAGGTTAACCTCATTAAATAATTCATTTAATGAAACATTTTTACCTAAATGTAAAATAATATACAGTCATGCCTTTAAAATTGGAAGTTAAAACTACTTGTCAACATCTAGCACATAGGAAACTGACCCTTGATAAGCATTTCATTACTGATTAACTTTAAGGGGCATACCTTTGAATGTTTTGAAGGCATTAACCCACATTTTCATAATTTCAGTGTCAAGAATCACCTCTCCCAACACCCAAAGAAAGTAGAGAGAGGTTTTTCCACTAATAGTCTTGAGCAAACTTGAACCTTTTTTTTTATGAAATAAACCCGAGTCCAGGTCAGTGTTCCTCCTGCCAGCTAAATTTCAAGCTGTTAAGTCCTTCAAAAGATCATTCAGTTATGCTCTTAAATCTCCAGATCAGTCAACAACAATTTTCTGATAAGGATACTGCCAGCTACTCAATTCCAACTAACAACAGATTAATCAACCATTTCCCACTAGATTGGGGTTTGAATGTATCATTGCAAATCATAAAGGTAAAAATTCTCCAGCACCTAATGTCAGTGCTATATAGAGTTAGGAAATCTGAAGTTAGATAGAATGAATTAAAATAAATAAAAAACTTCACCAGCATTCTTAGAACAAGATGTTTAACCCTTTCAACCAAAAGTAATTTCAAACATTGGGAAAAGAAGAAAAAAAAACCCAAGCTAGGATATTCTTCTTTCAAACAAGAAGCAGATAAATGTTGATTGTTGCAGCACTCTTACCTTGATTCACAGGCTTGATTAACCGAGCACAGCCTTCTCTCTCCTGCAACAGCAAAAGCATTGCAAAATAATAAGCAACTACAGTTAAAAGCAAAAATATATAGGGATCCCCAATTTAAAAGAGGAAGAAATAAGTGTCATGAAAGCTTTGCAACAAGGTTTAAAAAGCAATATGTCCTAAACAGAAGAAAAACGAAATATGCATTCAGTCACAAATAATATTAAATATAAGGGAACCTCACAGGAATAGGAACAGTCCAGCCATCATTCGGAGACCAATCCAAGGATGGGCGTAGGTCGCTGCAGGAAACTTCATAGGATGATCCCTCACCCAGAGGAGGTTGTGGCAAATCAATCTATAAAAATAAAAGATACACTGATAAGATTTCTACTGAGAGACAAAATGAATGGATACAAAAAGTCTGAACCAATAAGTAATCATCAAAGTAATGTTTAAATTTAAACCCAAAATAACAATAAACCAAGCGCGGTGTGGTACGCGGGGTCAAGAATAAATTCCCATCCACAAAAAATAAGGATTCTGAAATTGGACTTACTAAATGAAAGTTTTTTCACTATTTCTACTACAGTTCCTTCGAAAAAAAGTGAATACAGGATGACTTAAAAAGGTTCATATCAAAAACATAGTCTAGCATTGTCAAGACATATACTAGTTTTGCCTCACTTGTTGCAGATCAACTTGGAGAATTTCAAAAGGCCTAAACCATCTTTTTACATGTTCTCAATTCTAAACCAATAGTTAAGAGTTAAGACCTACTACATATGTTCTACTATTATTGCAGAAGCCTATCATTTTAGGACTGAACACTTCTTCCAAAATTAATTGACACCAATAATATTGAGCATTTCAAAATTCATGACTCCTAACCTTTCCTTCCAAGAGAAGTCAAACTTAATTTTGAAGACTTTTATCAGGAATTGACTAGTAGTTCTAAAAACACTTGGAAAGGAAAATTCGGAAACTTTGTTATCAATAAACCACCTCATAAATGATAAAAGGTATCTAGATTTATTTAAAAGAAGCAAAAACGAAAATCATTATTACCCGGGCCTTCCCGTCCCCTAATATTTTCGTTATCCTAGCAGACCAATAACAATTATCAGCCCACCAATCAACCAAATCTCCCACCTTCCATACATCTCTGACAATGACTACTACTTCTGAAATGGTATTGAGATCAGGCCTTTGACATTCACGATACACAGGAGGAAAGTGAGGGCGAACCATTAATTGCCTTTTTATCACCGTCGATTTACCACTAGAAGAGGGCTTCTGATATAACTTTGTCCATTGTATTTCTGTAAATATGCACATGTCAACTAACAAAATGACCAAAAATAAGAATAAAAAGTCGACTAAAAAGCATCACCACAATATCTCGTGCAATGAGAGCACAAGGCAAATGAGGTAGGGCCCATACCAAGTTTTAAAAAAAATTACAAAATAAAAAGTAAAGCTGAATGAACCCAAACAATCTTAACTCAGTCTAACTTTTGAAAAATAAATATGTTATAAAATAGGAAAAGTAAAATTAAATGCACCTTGCCCTTGCAGCTTTTCATACACACCAAATTTACTATTTTCTTAATTAAAATTATATCTTCCAAAACAATCAACATTATTGTCTTACAAACCTTATCTCTTATGTGTTGCTTGAAATAGTTCTTTACAATTAATTTGCATCTCTTCTACAAAGGTTAAGTGCACCCTCTTTTTGGTACATTTTGAATTTATTATACATCATCTTATACATAATTGTGCCGTTTATATTTTCTCTTATGTCTATATATTTGTTTTTCTCCCTCCTTTCTTTTTCATTAATAATTTGTTTGGTTTTGTCGACAATAAACTTCTTGGACCAAAATTCACTAACAAAACAATCATAAGTGAACAATATTGAATAATAGTATCCATCATTAGCTTTAAAATTGAGAAAGCCAGTGTAAAATTATTTCTGTATGGTTACAACTAAAATTTAGTTAAAAAGCCAATACATTCACTCTCCAGACCAAAATACATAGCAACAAAAAGAAGAGAAGAGAACAAATAGCAGTAGCATAAAGCGCACTAACAAAGAGATATTACTTACTTTCATCTGGAAAATCATAATATTCCATGGCATGCACTATCTCCTTTTTCCTCCGACCAATCTCCTTTATCTGATCAAAGACATACTTATTAAAGTAACAATGAAAAGAAAAAGATCAGGCATATTTATTAAAGTAATAATAAAAATTGTGAGCTTCATCAAATTAATAACACTATGCAAGGACAGAAACTACAGAATTGACAGTCAAAGGAATTAATAAAAGAAAAATGTATAAATTAAAGAAACAACCTTCAAACCAAAATGAAGAAGACATTTCATTACCAAAACACCAGAGTGGGTGTAACAACTGATAAAATGAATTGTGTTTAAACATAAAATATTTTTAGCATAGTAGACCTGACAGTTAAGTGGAATAATCGAGGCTAAAAGTTTAGCAGAGAATTAACTTCATGACCAATCATCAGGTCTCCCACAGCCAAAAATGGCCAGATCATTAAACCAAATTGATCATAATCACTTATCCATTAAAATTTCCTTCCTTTCCTATTCTGTTTGACTAGCTGAAACAAAAGAGTTTCACTTTATGCAGAGACAATAAGAAATCTCAATGATACATCTAAACCAAGAAGTCAGGCATGTGGTTTTTTCAGCTTGAGCCCTTTCCTTATGAATTGTTTAGTGACACCTAAATCCTAAAGACATTGACTTTCAAGATGTGCCCCATATATCTTTCCAGAATGCTTTCCTGCCCTCACAAGTAACTCAAACAGACTATTTAAAAATATGCAACTGAAATGTATCATCTTCTATTTAATTTGATTCAAAAAATAAGCCTATCAACAATTATAAGGACAAACATGGATACAAAGATAGAGAAATAATCAGGATGAACTGAAATTTTTTATCAGTGCTAACACAACAAGAATCTAGATATTAACATGACCCAGAAGTAACCACAAGAAACTGATCTTTGTAGGCTATAACCCTAAAACATACCTTGCATCGGAACCACGCACCACGATAACCCGATATGAAAGATCTCGCCTCTATCAGTTGGTCAACTTTAAAAGGAAGCTCCACCTTGTCCATCACAGTCCATCAAACAGTAAATAGCTCAAGGCTGAATTTATAGTTGGCCAACTTAAGCCAGATTCTTCTTCTACTAAGAACTTTTTTTGGCAGTTCAGATTGGAGGGTCTGAATCCGTGACACAAAGAGCTGTCTTAGAAAAGAATAATCACGTCAAAATATACAACTATACCCAGGATTTCATAAGGCTTGTAACAAGAGAAATAATAGCTGAACATTAAAGTAGAATACTTCAAACTAGAAACTTCTTGGAAAATCAACACCTAGCCTGGGATTGTACAAATTTTAGAAAAGTGATGCAGTACAACCTAGAGATTTTAGGGATTTTTTGTAACTTATTTAGGATTCATTTTCATTCATTTTCTTAGTTTGTTTTTTCCTATTGTAAATGAAGTGAGAACTTCCTCATTTGGATTGATCTTCTTGCCTATTAAGTGGATATTACATTTCCTTCAACAACTTGATATTGTTGATAAATTCACAATAATGATAAGTTACCACTAGACCTAAAAGCTTAACCCAGTGGGTAGGATTCAACAATAATATTTAAGTCCTGATAAAGTGGGCTTGGGTAGAACTCACACCCAAAAGCTAGCTCAAGGGAGGAGGGAGCCCAATCATTTATATACACCATAACAGTCCACTATTAGGGCAGTGTGGGACAAATTCAACTACTAACACCCTTCCTCACGTTTGGCGTGCAAGGCCAGGGTCCAAACCCATCATCGCCCTAACCAAAGAGGAGAGAGAAACAAACATGGCTCTGATACAATGATAAAGTGGGCTTGGGTAGAACTCACACCCAAAAGCTAGCTCAAGGGAGGAGAGAGCCCAATCACTTATATACACCATAACAGTCTACTATTAAGGCAGTGGGGGACAAATTCAATTACTAACAAGTCCAATAGGCCCTCTCATCTAAAGCGTGGATTTTATTTTTCATTCAGTTGAAATGAAGGAATTTGAATTTGAGGCCCTTAACTCTAATACCATGTTAAGATACCACTTGACCTAAAAGCTTAAGCTAGTAAGTGGGTGACTCAATGTTTAATTCAAGTCCAATAATGATGGTTTTCTCCTCATTTTTATATTTCTCCCTTATTCTTCTTGTTTTTCCTAGGGGTGCTCCAAAAAAATGCAAAAACCAAACCGAAATATATATATATATATAATAATCTTAATCCCTAAATTTGCACAATTTCTTTTGTTGTTTTCCATTGGGACTTAGTTATTTTGTTATTTTATCATGGACGTTTCATTACAGACTTTTATTTTTCTTTAATTTCGAGCTTTTATTTGTATCAATTTTTAATGTATTGTTAGTTATGGTCAATAGATATGTATGAATGTTTAATTTTTATTTGGATATGTATTGTTGATGTTTACAATTTAATTTAGGAAAAATTTAAAAAAATAAAATAAGTTTTATCCAATAAAAAAGGGAAAACCAGTTCAAAACCGGTTAACCGGTTTTTTCAAAGCGATTAATCGAAAAACCGATTTTCCCCCAAAACCGGTTCGGTTCAAGAAAGCGGTTAACCGAACCAGTTAACCGCTTTTGAAAACCCCTAGTTTTTCCCCCACTTCTATTTCTTATCATATCTCTACTCTTTCCTGCTACTTCTTCCTTAATTCTATCCTTCTTAACCTCTTTCAAAAAGTTCACTAAGAAGCTATTAGTACAAGATTCAATTTAAACTTTCAAGATAGCACTAAGCCTTATACCAAGCAAAAAGCAAAAATAAGGCACTTCATAATGTTAACCATAGAGTCTTCAAGAGGAGGAGCAAATAATCATCCTCATGCTTGTTAGATTTCTCTAGGACACCTCAAGTAAGGGGTGATGCTACCACCAATAAGCCAAAAATCTCCCTCCCATCTCCAACTTGGGATTTGAATCCATTACCACACTTTGATAACATCACTTTTTATTAAGTGATGCCAATCAACTCTCACAAAAGTTTCAGTTGAGAGAAACAACTTATTGTTTTAGAAAAAGGCAAAGCTCCACACAAAATGGTAGACCAATGTAAGACACTTCGCAATGCATTTCAAATAGCACCCGGGGCTGAAGGTGATTTGTCACATCCCACATCACTAACTAATAGGTCTATGATTCAATTTATAAGGCTTTTGTACTCATAACTAAGTAGATATGTTTTGGGTGGAAGACGCTAACGTGAAGCCCAGAAGCAAGTCTGTGGCGAGCTCGCTACCCGATGAGAAAGTATGACGCCTCAAGAGGATACAAGATTTATAAGATGTGGAGTTTGTCACAACTCACATTGCTAGCAAATGGGACTAGAATACAATTTATAAGACTTGGTTCTAATAACTAAGCAATACACATTTTGGGGTGAATGACACTTGTGTGAAGCCGAAAAGCAAATTTGTGCGGATCTGAGCCCAAAACAACTTACATCAACCCACCTATTTTTCTTTAAGGAGTAATTTTAGCAGCAAGGTGATGGCAACCCACATAAACCAGCTATTTATATTCAACTAATGAATATAAAACACCTATACTCTCAAACTAATTACATCAAAACTAATTCGATTCAACCTTACTCTCTTCTTTAAAATCATAGCAAATGATTAATCATATAAGCATTCTGTCAATCAAAAGTCACATACAAACCCAAAACTAGTGTTTAAGGATTCATATTATCATACCACTTATCATCATATTAGAATACTCCACATCAATTGGGCCTATAAAATCATGCGCTCCCCAACATCTCAAGTCTCCACCTAATTTGCATCAAATAGCATATCAAAGTAACTACTTTACCTTTTCTTAATTAGAATCCTAAGGTCGTCATCCATAATGCAACTTACTTAAATCAAAACTCTACAATCAGGTCACCATCCATAATGGACCTTATTCAACCATCACATAACACCCCACGACACTTTTCCACTTCAACCATGTTACTCAAGTCTTTGTATATCTGCCTTTCTTCATGTATAACCAATCAACATATCTATATTAGTTTTCTTATATGCATCTTAGCTGCTCCATATGTATATAAACAAACCTATATAATAATTTACCAAAATAGCTCCTTCATTGTGACAAACACCACAACATCTACAAACCAATGGCCAAAAAGTATACAAAGAAAGACAACACAAACGAACCAACAACAAAATATGAATCTAATAGCATTTTCCGTCCTTGTACAATAAGATGTGTAATAACAAATTAGATTCAAGTCCGATGTGAAAATCAAAGGTGTCAAAAAAAACTTCTATTTCAACTAAATAAATTGGACAAATTCGGCATTATCAAGCCCTAGAGTGAGTGAGCAGAATTTAATCTCAAAACCTCCTTGTACAACCCCAATAAATCCAAACATCCAGTACCCACTGATCCAAAAAAAAATACGAGATCAAGAACTTAACTCCACAAAAATATATTGACCACTAATCCAAACCATCATCCAAAATCCAAAACCACTCATAATTCAAATATTTTCCTCAATGAAAATGATGAAAATGGAAGTAAGATTAATAGTGCAAATTCTACCACAAAGTAAGACTTGTACCACTAATATCAAGTATAATTTGCTCAAATCTCAGGATAAATAAAGGTATTAGAATAAAAATAAAGTATACTCAAAACCTACATAATAACAATAACAGAATATATGTAAATTAAGATTCAAAGTGATGCAAAAACATCAAAGAAAAGAGTAAAATATTATGACCTTACACCTCAAAGAACCAAGCCTCTCTCAAAAGAAAAAGAAAAAACCCTAGATTTACATTACCTTTAAAAACCTGTATATAAAGCCACATGTTGCTCTCTTAAAAGGAAAGAAACATGAGGAAAAAGATCACAAAGAGAAAGCGTTTTGTGGAGTTAAATGCAAGAATCCTTCTTAACAACAATTTTGTCATATAATTAAAAAATAAATAAATAAATGAAATGGATAAAACCTAATAGAAATTGAAAATCTTGGAAACCTTGCTATGAATTCCAATCGAATAAGTATGAAAGGTTATCGAGGCGCCGCCGCGC